GTTACAGATTCCCAAACCGGAGTTCCTGGAGGAAAGACAAGTTCTAACTGCAATCAGGAAAGCAAGCAGGTTCTTCTAAGTTCCAGAATAACTCACCTTGTATCAGCCTTCTCCAACCTGGTGTCTTTCAGATGCAATAGGGCTGCAATTCCCCAAATTCCCAGTTAACAATTCTGGGAGTTGAAATCCCAACAAATCTGGAGGGCACTGAGTTAGGAAAGCTGAATTAGACAAGATCAAGGACTGTGTCCATTTGCTTCTAGTTATTTGGGACTAAGCATAAGGCAGATATATGTAGCACAAAACACAGCAGAAACACGTGCAGTGCTCAATGGAGGACTGCATCTTAAAAGTAGCTCATCATTCACCATGGTAATATATAAATACTTACCACATAACATAGTAGCACAGTCTACAATGGAATGGATCCAAGCTGTCCGGGCATAATCTTGTGCAAAGTAAGTCTGGAACTCCACAAAAAAAATTGAGATACATCTGGGAAAGAAAAAAACAACAAAATCTCATTGGATGCGATCACAAGCCTTTCAGATAAATACCACCACAGTGAAAGATTAAATGGAAGGTGACCGAAGACCTACTAATGCCAGGACTAAGCCAAAATCTCTAAAAAGATGTCCATGTTCAAAGATATGGAGATGCTCTCTTCAACATGCTAATGTTGCAGTTTACAATGTCTGTAACATCCAGTCTGCATATCAACCATCCTACCAAGATAAGAGCAGCAACAAACTTCTCCCTAAGTGCAATTATTTTCACACAGACTGAACAAGCACAGGTAAACTTAAGAGCAACAGATTCCTGCCCACTAAAATACTTACGTAGAAAACAACTGGACAGAACCTTTGCAAATACAGTTTTAAGCAGTCTCATGAATGTGTACGGATGGGGAATAGAGTTTTCCTATTGCCTCCGTTCAGGTCTGTTCACTGCACCAAAAGGCTTGCCTGAATGGAGCTCGCTTGTATAATGACAAAACTATGCAGTGCTGGTGGATTTCTGTCATTAGCAGGGAGGGCAGAGTTTGAGAGCTTTTTTTCAATGTTATGATTGTACAAAATAAATAGATGGAATTGTCTGGTATGACTGAAGAACCATGATAAGAACAGGCCAAATAAACTCAAAAATAGACTGGGGCAATACGAGGAGTGCAATGGGAAAAGAATTCATCTTTCTATATTCAGGAAGTGCCAGTCCTGCCATCTGACAAATTAAAGTTATGCATGTTATGGATTGGGGAATATATTTCAAAAAAATAGCAATGCTCACTCTTTAGACATTATTATTGTATTTTCAGTATGGGGGAATCTACAGTGGAGGGGGACAACTTCTACCCTCAAAACATTGGCCAGTGGTCACGTGAAAATGATTATGTCACAGTAGCCACTGTGTTCAAGTGGAGCACTGAGCAGACACCAAAAAATATTGTTATCAGTACAGGAAAAATAGTTGGCAATTGAACATCAAATACGTCAATCTATGTAATAGCTGCTTGATTCTGAGGACTGCATATTGTTTCGGCTACAGGTACTTTTGCATTCAGAGACAATAAGCACAGCAGTATGGGTAATTAAAGCTTTATTCCAAGGCAGTATGAGAAACAAGGAAAAACAATAGAATACAGCTTACAAAGAGTATAATATATTTAAGAAGCAATGAAAGACAGCTTACAGAGAGTATAGTGCTAACAAGATCTCAGAGAGACAAAGAACCTTACACCCCCCCTGCCAGTCAGGAAACCCTGAGGGTGATGGCAGGTGGACCCTTTCTTCAAGCTGGCAAGTGTAGCCCCCCGCCCCCCGGGTTAGGTCTACACAGAGATTCTCCTCTAGAGGGGCTTCTGACTGGTTTACATAGATCACAGACAATAATCAATTATACCTGTATATGTCTGTAGAGGGCAGAGGGAATGGCCTTCAAGAATAGGAGGAAGAACTGTTACCACGGCAATGATCAGACAAAAGGGGCCTGAGCCCAGGCCAAGAAAGTAATGTGAGTAAACGTCTCAGACAAGCCCCTCCGTAGTTCATACGAAGATAAAGGGAGAAAGGGAGGAAGCCTATTCAGACTTCATAAGATTCTGTTACTATAACCTTACAATAAAAATAGTACTGATCTACATAGCCTTGGTTTCCTAGTCTGGTCTACCTGGAAAGGCTGATAATGTCTGCTCATCTCCGCCAAGGACAGAGAGAATAGGGGTATCTTATCAACATGTCCACCTGCTCTTGTCAAGAACAAGGAGGAGAAATGTATCTTACCTTATCCTTGACAGGCCACACTTATAACACTTATTAACAGGATAAATGTTCAAAGTTGACTTTGGTGGCACAAAGATCTAAATTCTTCCTCTCCTCTCCCTCCTTTAAAGTACTTTGCTAAATGTCCTGCTTCAAGTTTCAGCCATGTACACTCACACACAGTTGCTTATGGAGCTTAGCAATTTTACTCCAAGGCTGAAGAGATAACAGCAAACAAAGGAATGTAAACAAAACTGAGGCTTGCCTGAAGAGTTTGCTTTCTAAATTGGAGCATGCAGAAGAATAGTCCAAATCCAAATCCAGGGTTCCAAGAGCCAGGTCAGGGTTGTTGCCCATCCAGAGGTCCAAGGCTTCCAGTACAAATGGTATTTACAGGAATGTTATGCAGGAGGTCAGATATTGTTTCCATAAAAAAAAAAAAGCATGGCTCAGAGCTGCTTCTTAAATAAGGCTGCAGCCAGCTGTCACTAATGGGGAGATTACTCCCTTGCTTGGCAAGAAGACTGTTAGACCTTTGCTGTTCTGCTCTCTTCTCTGCTTGTCAGGTGCAGGGGCTGAGAGGCCTTACTCATCCTCACCTGACTTCTCCAGCTGCTCAGGTGATGCCTGTGTGTGATCAGCTTCACATGATTCCCAGCTTTATGTCTCCTGAGGTTGACATTCCACAGGCTCAACTGGAGTAGCTTCTTCAGGGTCAGATTCAGAATCTGAGTCCTGAGCATGGGCCATGACAGTCTTTGTGTACTTTTTGAGAAGAAGTGTTAATTATGCCTCATAAAATGAGGGTGGAAAAAGCCAAGGAGGAAATACACAGCCCTTCCACCATAGGAGAGTTACTCTTGATGGTCATTCCTCAAGATGAAACTGTTCCTGTTGCCGAGATTCTTGGAATTCAAGATGAAATGCCTCCAGTATCTTCAGGTTGAATTCAATCTGGGGCTGAGAATCCTTCTCAGAATGAATCGACTCCCCAGATGATGAATAAATTGCAATCAGTGTGTAACCTTATGGCAATTTATTCTCTGAGATGGTTAATGTTTATAAAGACATTGGCATACTGTATAAAAATATTAGCACTCTGGATTACAACATGATATTGAATCATCTTTTTATGAGATGATATGAATACAGTGAAAGCTCAAATTAACAAATTTCAAATAGAGCTGGAGAATGTAAAGACAATAACTGATCATTCTCATGAAACCAGGCTGAACAGAAGAATCTACAACTGAAGGAATTTAGATCTGTGTGATAAAACTTTGACTAAACTACAAGGAGACCTGACCTGCAGAAACATAAAGATAAGGGGTCTTCCTAGATGTAGAAAGCACAGAAACTTTGCCTGATTTACTAGAAAAATCTGTGTAAGACACATTTTCATTGTCTTCAGGTGTGAACCTGAAAATAGAGGATTCTTATGAAGTTAAATCATGGCTGGGGATTCCCAAGAGTACTCCTCTGATTGTTAAATATTGCAGGATTGTTGTGATATGGTTCTGAGGAAGGCCATATGAGATCTCTTCACTGAAATACAAGGAATACAAATTGCAAGATTTCTCTGTCTTCCTCAGTCTGTGATTTCTCTGAGGAAGACACTCTTTTCAGGTCTGGCTCAAGAGAAATCTGTTAAGTATTTTTTCTTGTTTTCTGGTATTTTTTGCCTGTCCATCTCTGACCAGATCAAGTGTTTTTACAGACCTGATGCTGCATTAGCATTTCTGACACTGCAATGACTAACTGTTGCCATATTGGAAGGCTTACCTTGTTATGGGAAAAGTTATTTGTTTTGTCTTTGGCTGGCCAGCATTGCCCTCTGCTGAATCTTGTTACATATGCTCTGATGTTAACTTTATTTTTTTTCCTGTTTGTTTTACAGTTGGGGGGGGGATGGAGGAAGAGGAGGAGGAGGGGGTTGAGATGGGGAACTACTTCTCTGTGGAAGTCAGTTTTTTCTTGTTTATTGCTGTTGGCTCAATTTTTTTTTTTGGTTAAGTATGTTCAATATTTTTATGTTTAGTTATGGTTTCCTTAGTCACTGGTAGCATTAATTTCTCAATAATTTTCTATACTCCTATTTTATCTATACACATATTTGTAATATCAATATTCAGGGCTTGGAGACTTAAAAACACTTATTTTCCACTTTTAAAGGGCACATGTGCATGTCTATCTAAAAGGGGGCAGTTTTGCCATTAATTTCATTGGCCTAGTTAGGGGCAGCTGCCTAGAGGATTGTGTTTTCAATTCCTCTAGAAGAATTGCAATCATCACTGAAAACTCTTTTCCCAGGAGACCCATAGGTATGCAACTCATGTTTAATTGAACTGTTTATTCCTGTTCATTATGACAGAGCATTAACCAAAGTATTTGAATCTCTGAAAAACAACCCAGGCATGTCTTTCTGTGACAGCCAGTTTTGTTGGTGTATGGAGGCTCATTTAGAGCGAGCACCCCCGCCACGCCACCACCAGGTTTAATATAGCTATGCTGCATCACATCTGCTCCTACGCTTCTCACTGTTTCCATCATAGTAAGCCAGCCAACAGTGCCAAATATTGGGTAGGGGCTTTCCATCCATCTTGGGTTTGTGTCTGTGTTGTGTGTATGTGAGTAGCAGGGAGAGAGCCATTTACAGATGCAGTTGTTGTAATTGTACTGTAAAGAAGATAATACAAATCCGTACTATGTTAACAAATTCAGACAAGGTTCTTGCCAGCTTACTTTGAATCTCACCCATCAAAATGAAAACAGATTTCTTTAGAAGAGAAACTAACAACCGTAAGAGGGAGCCTTCAATTTGCTGAATCTTTCAGATGAAAAGGACACTTTGCTTCCCTCCTACCCACAAGACTTCTCATTAATTTTACAGTTGGTCAAAGTCTATCCAGACATATTTTATGCAATGAAATGGTCACCCAAGTCCCATTTTAGTGACAATTGCATGAACCTGCCTTGTCTGACTGAAAGATTGGTGGACAAGGCCTAGTTTTGCTACCCAGAGGAGATGAGCCATTTCAGATTTCGGTTGGAGCATGGAGAGACCCGGAAGGGGTGTTAAAATAAAAATGGTTCATAAATTGGCAGAATTTCATTTACTTATATAAATAAATGTGAACATTGCAACTGTGGATAGTATGCAGGAAAGCAAAAAGAAGAAACACAAGAAAGTAAACAATGATGCTTGATCAAGAAGAGATTTTTCTCAGGGGTATTTCCCATTAAAATATGGTGAACATATTTCAATTCAGTCTGGAGAAGTTCTGCAAAGAAGAGTACAAGGCACAGTTTTCAGAGAGTTAAGACTACTCTTCTTCAACCTGTTGCTCCAGTTATCAATCCTCCAGGATTTCTATCCATAATGTTAAGCTGTGGGTAAATTCACATCCACTAAGCTCAAGTCAAAAAGACAATATTATAGCTTAGCTGTGTAACTCTGATTGCACATACGAAACAAGTGGTGCTTCAATTGTACCATCACAGCTGCCATCTTGACTTGTTTGACCACATCCTGCAAACACCCCTGGGAAGAATGTTGCAAAATACATTTTTAGGTGTCCAAATGCCTTACGCAGCCCTGATTAGAGACAGAACTGTTTTTGAAGACACTGAGTCTGACTTCAACTATAGGGGCAAACAATATCCTGTGCTCAACATACTCTGAATTGATTACAGCCAAGATTTAATCAAAATGTTGCTATTGCCTTTTAGAATCACAAAGAACAGCTTTGTCATGTACTTTATTCTTCTAATTGTGCAGAGGAGAGGTTGTTAGGTAAACCAGGTGAAAGCTAGGAAGAGGTCAATCGTCTATCACAGTTGTAGTTGTACACAGTTCCAAAGAAGGCCACCCATCAATGGTTTCCTGACAATAAGGGAAAATATGGTACTTTTTCAAGACTTGGGGTGGGTGGGCTTCCATGTTTTGATTTCACTTTGGTTTGCAATTATGTATCAAGCGGGTCTTCTTATATGCTGCAGAAAAAGTGTCCAGATATCATTATAGAATGATGTTGGAAGTATCTAAGATCTTCTTGACTGAGGATGGGCAATCCTTTTTCTATCAAGGATCACATTTCTGCAAGAAATGTTGGAGCCACATTGCTTTCATGGCAATGGGCAGGCCAAATTCAGCATTTTTCTGACACTCCTCTTTTTCTTTCCCTGATACCTCCTTTGCTTTCTCTTTTTCTGCTCCCTTTCCTTTCCTTTTCTTCCTTCCCTCTTGCACCGCAGGCTGCAGAGAGAGGGCAGACACCTTTTTCCAAAAGTCTCAATGAATAGTTTGCAAAGGGCTTTTGAAATTAGGCCAAAGGCTGCAGAAGACGAAAGCAAGGGCCACCAGTGCCCACCTCTGCTTGTTTTCATCCTGGCCATTAGAAATCGTCTCCTGCTACTTTTAAGCAAGGGACATTAGTAACATAGGGCAAAGTCTCACATGCAACGAGTGTTACCTGGTCACAGCTCGAGTGCAGATCGTAACAAGGAAGCAGCCAATCACAATCACCCACCCCCATCCGCCATCGGGAGGGGAGGTACTTGAACCTTTCCTTGCTGCAGCCATAGCTATGATGACGAATTACCGCTTTTTAAACCAGAGTAAATCTGTAAAGACGACTGCCAGTTGACAGGCAGAATGTGCAGGGAATGTTACCTGATGCAAGGATTATTCAACATCTGAAACAAAAAGAAAGAAAGATCAAAGCAAGCCATATTTTGTTCTCTAAAAAGTGTTATCAAATGATTTAACAGATGTACTGCTCTGTCATCAAAAGTTATGGTGTACGTTTCGCTCTGAGGACTGCAGGAGGCAAATTCTACACGTCGTTGGAACATACAGGTGAAACTCGAAAAATTAGAATATCGTGTAAATGTTCATTTATGTCAGTAAGGCAACTCAAAAGGTGAAACCAATATATGAGATAGACGC